TTCAGCTCTACGAATCAGTTCTTGTGAACAGTTCATTTCATTGAGTCGCTGCGCTGTTATCGCGGATCGTTGCGAGTCGGTTATGTGCGAAAAATGCAGTTCACGGTTGAATGAAACTCGAGACCGATTTAGTCCAATGTGTACGAATCGTTCAAATCAGTAAAAAAAATCTGTTAAATAGAATGATAGAAAAATCCGACTCAAAAGAACAATTCATTCACGAATCGGACTGTTACGCAGGGTTGCCAGGTTTTCACAACAAAACCCGCCCAATTGCTACTCAAAACTAGCCCAACACCTGGTAAAAATCGCGTTCTGGGTGGAAAAATACTATTTTTTTTGGCGGAGTTCCCCTGGTAAAATATGCATTCCAGGGGATAAATATCACGTTATTGGGGTCGCTTCAATCCGCGAACATGAAAAACAACCCGCGGCAACAGTGTTAAGTAGCCCAATTCCGCGGGAAAACCGCGGACTTGGCAACACTGCTGTTACGTTTTAGTACGCGATGCAGAGCGCCGATACATCGATTCCCGTGGGCGCCTAGAGAAGAAGCTCTGACAACGTTTTTATTTATTTGTCAACATATAGCTTATTATAATTTTACATACTTAAGCTATAACTCAGATAATTATATCAATATTTCTGAGACAAATACGCTAATCTTGTTTAATGGTTGAATCAGGGGTGTCTAAATAATGAAGAACGTTATTGTGATTTTACATACGGTAGAGGTCGCCAATGTTCAGAATATTTATGTTGCATGACATGGTGTTACAGACAGGTCTCTCTGAAAATAAGATTTTCACATGATAGGTCTATGTACAGGTAAGAGAGAAGAGCAGTGTTGCTAGCTGGATTCACACGTAACCTGAAGGAACTTGATAATATTAATATATCTTGGGAATTTTTTGATCTGTTCACAAGCACTAAAAGAGGTTCAAAAACAACTTCAGCTTACAGTTTGGCAACACATTTATATCACTAAACAACAATTCTGATTCTGATCAACACAAAACCTTTTATTTTGACTTAAGTTGATCTAAAACTACTGATCAATTTTTGTTTGTCATCTGTTAGAACAGCAACAGTCAGTGACACCATTAATTATCCAGTATCGGTTTATCTGTTAATAATAAACACTACTATAACTAAATTCATATTTAACACTAATTATATTTTATCACAACTTCTTATGCTTATAATGTTAATTATTTAGGTTAATAACTTTTAGGATAATAATATCGCGGGGGAAATGGTTCTAAGAGGCAAACTAACTTCACCTGGGATCAAACAATCATGCTAAAATTATTAAACCTCACAAAAACAAAGCAACTCCATTCCATGAAATGTAATAAATATAGCATAAACTACTCTCATCCCAATGCACGAACTTCCGCTGCACTATTGGAGGTAAGAGATGATTGGCTGTTTGGTAGTGCGTCACAGGGTTTTCACCACTGTGATTGGCTGAAAACGCTTCGTCACAGTTGCATAGCGATCCTGGTGCGGCTGTGGACAGCGACTGAAAATGAAGAGTTAGCCGTTCACGAGCAACGGCCAGGCCGCCTTAACATACAGCTGGGTGACTCCCCGCGGTGTCCTGGAGTTGCTATGAAGGTACAGTCATTTCCCCTCATACTCGTTTAGTTTTGAACGTTTCTTTTTTTGGCTGTGTATCATACTAGCATTAATAATCTGCTGCATTTGCTATCAGCTCGATTTGTAACTACTGATTTCCTGTTTAGCATTTCATGCATATTTGCGTTGTGTGATTTTGTGCATTGATGACATGTCTTAAATAAACGTGTATCAATCAGCATCTAGCAGTTAATATCATTTATGTGTTTAATATCAGTATCCAAGTGTTAAATGCAATGATCATTAATGTGGCTGTTTGTTTTGAACTCTTCTGCTCTCATGTTTTCATTTGTTGGGAGGTGAGACCCAGCAACAGGACCGATCCTTCACTGTGTCACACAATGACACAATTGGGAGTTGATTATCATGTTGGCTCCCTATGAAAATAAAAACACCATGGTTACTCTCTGTTGAGTGTCACTAAGAGCTCTGGCTGCAGTCATAAGTCATTTAAAGCACACTTGTTAGCACACAATCTCTTGTTATGGCTTAGCCCTATTCCCATCCGTCTCTAATGGGATTGATCCCAGTCAATGGGAACTATTTCTGGGCAGGACATTCTGAATTACCCAGAAAATGTGGGATAATAAGGCACAGCAGCTCAGACTTACTATTGTTATCTTGCACATACACTCACAATTGCAATTTTTACACATTGGAGTCTTAATTAGAGGTGTAACAATATATTGCGTCACAATACAAAAATGCAATAATATGTATTGTGGATAGCAACAATATGCATCATGTATCCTTGACAAATTTATAGGCCAATTTAGTTTAGACCGATTTAATTTAGGCCTTTATTCATATGTAAATAAAGATCAATGCACATACAAAGAGCGCATCAAATATGATAAACCTAGACGCTCACACATTTGAGTTCCCTTGTTTATTAAATGAAAATGAAATATTTTATTAAATATTATTGGTATGAAACGGAAGTTCTAATCACCTTTTCTTTCTCCTATTTATAAGAAATTATTTTGAGTAAAGATTCTGAGGGCACATGAATTAAAAAAAACGTGCACGTATAATTTAGAATAATAAACACTGCAGTCATCTATAGTCAATTTTGATTTCACAGTGACTTTAATTATTATTAATAAATTACAAATAAAATGCATAAATAAATGACAAAAAATAAAGATTTTCAATGTATGTAGTCAGGGACAACGTGTCTAACACAATTCTGCATTTTTAGCTGTGCAGAATCATGGATATTTCTATTCTGGTTAACAAACAGTACCTTTTGTTTACTGGTTAAGTAATCATTTCTGAAAAAGTATAATTTTAACTGTTCTGGCTTTGTTTAAAATGTCATGAGAGTATTGTATCGTGAGGTCAGTATTGTGTATTGTCAAGTCAAGTCAAGTCACCTTTATTTATATAGCGCTTTTAACAATACAGATTGTGTCAAAGCAACTGAACAGCATTAATTAGGAAAATAGTGTGTCAATAATGCAAAATGACAATAGTAAACACTCATTTTTCAGTTAAAGACAGTTCATCATCGAATTCAGTGTTGAATCATGACTTGGGTGTATTTTTATACTCCTACTCTTAATACAAGCTCAGAGGTTTGAAAAAGACTTTTGAAGATCATTGTCTTTGTATGTTTTTAAAGTCTCTTGTTTTCTGTGCAGGCGGGGGCCTCGTCCATGTGGGCATCGTGCTGTGGTCTGCTGAATGAGGTGATGGGGACCGGAGCCGTGAGAGGGCAGCAGCCAGGTTTTGGGGCAGGTGCAGGGCCGTTTCGTTTCGCTCCCACTGCAGGATACTCCACATACCCGCCCACCAACTCCACCAGCACCAGTCTGGTGTGTCAGGCCTGTGGACAAGCCTTCTCTGTCTTTAGGAGGAGGGTAGGTAGACCTGCACACCTGCCACTGCCATTCCATCTCATTGTTATGCATATTAAACCTAAAAACATTTCTTAGTTTAAAGACGGCATGAAACACTTTGACAAACACAATTTTCTTTGTCATGTTGACATATGTCCTACTGAATCAGGAAGTTGGGCCCATGTTGACAGGCTTGTGCTGGTTTTAAACAAAATTGGAGTCATAGCCTGACTAAAATGGTTAGTGGGTGGTATTCATTCTGTACAGTATATCATTTGATCTGACAAACATTTTTATACTATCCTGCATGCAAGATGAGTCCTCAATATTTTTGGCCTATTTTTCAAAGAAGAGAAAGACTACATTTTTAAAATCTACTAAAAGTTTGTTTGGCCAATTTTAGGAATATGGTAACACATATTAGATGACCTCAAATCTAACTTACATGGACTAAAATGCACAAATCTTTTTATTTTTGCAATTAAATTAAAATGTATTCTAGATTAAAAAAAAAATTTTGATTGCTTTCCCATAAGTAGGACTTAAGTACATCTTTTAAATATGGTTTAAATGTACTGCTGACTATATCGAGCATTTATGGTAAACTAAAATTTGATGTAATTTCAATTGTCTGTCATGTATTTAAATGTATTTGTAATTACACATTTGTAATAATGAAGCTGCATTTTACTACATTTTAAATATTTACTTTAAATGTAATATTGAATAACACACTACAGTTAAAATGACAATTACTTTACACTTGCATTTTGTGCTTTTGATTCAGCACAGACTCTCTCTTTTTCTCCACTGTAGCACATCTGTTGTGACTGTAAGAAGAGTTTTTGTTCGCTGTGCTCAGTACTTCAGGAAAACCTGCGCAGATGCACGACTTGTCATCTGCTGAAGGGCACTGCATTCCAGCGTCCACAGCTCATGCGTCTGCGTGTTAAAGACTTGCGGCAGTACCTCACGTTACGCAACATTAGCACTGATACATGCAGGTACTTTTGCACAGACATGAGAAACTGAGCATTAATAGGGTATATTATGACAATATTGTTAGTGTTTTTGAGTTGTTTGAATGCTTTCATAGGGAGAAGGAGGACCTTGTGGACTTGGTGCTTTGCCATCAAGGGGCAGAAAGTGAGGATGATCCAGACACACCCTCTCTGCAGTCACGCCCCCTGTATAGCCCACCGCCTTCAACTGAAGAGCCCACTTCCCCTCTCTCAGCACTCTCTCCAACTCAAGGAGAACCTATCAGTAGGAGCAACAGCTCAGAGTCCACCAATCAGGTGTGTCCTGAATACATTTGGAATAGGTAGTGATTTGTCTTATTTTAAAATCTTCAAGTATTTCGATATGCAGTCTTACAGTAAAAAGAGTACTTGTATAGCAAAAGTTATATAGTAATAGAAAAAATAAAATGTATAACTGCACCTGTTTCTGAATATTTGTTGAATTAAGCACTGTCAGAGTTTCCAGTGTTGGCAGCTCCATTAAATTAAATATTTAATATACATTATAGCTTGACTGCAGGTTTAAAAACAGTGAAATGTTATAATTAAGGAAATTAAACTAAAAGGCAAAATGAAATATGACTAACTTGGTGATAATTGCAAAAAGAAAATCAGAGAGAAACATTGGACCTTATGAAAAAAATAATTGAATGAAGACGCATGCCTCTGTGCACTGTTTATAATTTTTAGAATCACGATAAAAATGTCCACTTTCATCGTGAATCTCCTCACAAAATGAAATTAATTTCAAACAGATTTGATAACAGAAACACAGTCACAGTGTGACCAGGGCGGGTAGAAAACATAATCAGATATCAGATATTCTGTATGGTGATGGTGATTATTGATCAAATAATTGTTTTTTTTACATATCACCCAGCCCTAGTTTGGAACAACACATTTACATACATTCCAGAATACAATTTTTTTTATATGCACTTGACTCAAGCCTCCTATGTTTGTCAAATGAACTGAAAGTAATATGTTTGTTTTTCTTTAAATTACTTCATTTGTATTACATTTGATTAATAACTAAAACATTACACAATTGAATTAAAAGTGCGAAATAATGTTTTTTTTCCCCTAAGATGATTACTGTACAGTACTAAATTGAACACGCAATATGACAAAACCATTTGACCATAATAGCATAGTGCTGTTTGAAACATAATACTTACTCTATGTTCCTAACTTCCTACTAAGTAGGAAGCATATACTCGGATACAAGAGCAGTATAATACAGTAGTATTTCATGTCAAACATGGTCTGTTCCTCAGCTGATCCAGGGAGCAGAAGTGTAACATCAGTTAGTTCTCAAAAGGCATGTGGCAGAACTGGTTTGCACACTTTTGGCTTTGGAAGAGCACTTCAATCCATTTATACCTCTATTAACAAAAAAAAAAAACTGAAATGATGCCAAACTTGAAAGATACTTCTTACTTGTTTACTTGTGGCAGGAATCCTTGCTAAAGCTGTAAGGGGCTTAGCATGGATGGCTAATTATACTTTTTCTGTGTAAACATTCCTTGCTGATAGGATATCGAGGACTCCACTTCAGTCTCACTCCTTAACCTTGACCAGACAGAATACACGCCTGAGGTGAGTTAAGTCACTTAGTGAAAACTGAAAGGAATGACATGGTCATTTCCGGTAATTATTGAATATAATAATTTCTTAAATTGCACTGACAGTATGACTATAATGTGGTTTTACCATCAGGTTAGTCCTCAGACGCAGCGGCGAGCTAGAGCTTCTCTGTCAGACCTGTCCTCTCTTGATGATGTGGAGCAGCTGACCGTGCGGCAGCTAAAGGAGATCCTGGCGAGGAACTTTGTGAGCTTCTCTGGCTGCTGTGAGAAGTGGGAGCTGGTGGAGCGCGTCAGGAGGCTTTACCGGGAGAACGAGGACAATCGCAAATCTAGTGAGTTCTAAATGCAGAGCTGCACTAACACTGCTCCATTTATACAGCAACACACAGTTTAAGATTCACTTTTTGACATAACTGCCAACTGTATGTAAATTGAAAAAATAATTTACAAATTCTTGAAAAATATTCTTGAAAAAAAAATATTGTTCCTAAAATTATAATTTATTTATTTTTTGTCTGTCAGTGGAAAATGTGAGCAACCCCATCACTGCAGGTAGGAAATTACCTCACAGCCTGACTTTAAGTTCATACAAAGAGTGAAACTTTTTAGGTCTAGGAGTTGATTTTATTAATGATCAGCTTAGGTTTCCACAGTAAATTAAATAGATTGTTTAATTATGGAACTCATAGCCGAGTCTAATAGCTGTGCTTTGCTCCTCCCACTTAAGTGGTAGCTTATCCCCCTCCAATCTGCAATGGCGGAATCGGAGGTAAGGCTTGCGATTGGTGGAAATGTTTCCTGGTCACACCCACCGGTGCACTGAAGTTTGTGATGTCATTGCACTTCAAACCCCTTCCCTGCATGGCCACTGCCGGATAGCATGTACTCTCAAAGAATAAAGGAAAGAAACAAAGTAGTACCATTGTTTATACTGCAATAAATGATTAATAATGCATTTTACTGGTAGGGTTAAGGGTCATAAAAATGTATCTTCTTCTGTTTTACCCCCATTATCCCATTCCATCTGTGCCCTTCATTAAGTATTATATAACTAGGGTTCAAATAAACTGGATAATGCAAGAGTTGGGATGTAGTGATGCACCAAAATGATTTTTTTTTTAAACGAAACTCTGATACTGAAAATAAAATGTTGGTAATTAAATTTAGGCAATTTAGTCAATGAACTCTGTATGCTATTCAGAATGTCATGTTCACAGGTTATGCTTATTTCACTCTAACGAATTTTACATAGATGCTCAAGCATAATTTTTGGTCATGGTAAAGTGTGCCCACTTTGCTGACATTTTTTCTTATACACATTTTGTGTATGAAACAGCTAACACAGTCAAAACACTTCATCGGAGAAGCGCTAACTGTTTCAAATAATGATTTATGTTTTGCCATTTCAGCCGAATATTTTTGTTGCCATAATTTGGGTGCATCACTAGTTGGAGGTATTCATTTTAAATGGTGGCCATCTTTGGTTGCGTTTGGTTCATCATACAGGAAATGAACCCATTGATTAAAGTCCAAAGTATACTTCGGGTTTTTTTAGGCGCACAGTCAAATGCTCAGCCTTTCATAGTACTCCATTTGACAGCGCGCGTGAACGCAAACGCTCGACATGTGCGCTACAAAGATCCAGCCTTGTCCAGTGTCAGTGCTTTTTCTCTCTAAAAGTGATAAATATGTCTTTATACACGTTAAAACTAGAGTTTTTTTTTTTTTTTTTAAATCCGCTAACACAAGCATTCGTCAACACGGGCATCTATTGTTTTTGACGTCTTGAGTAGTTTGTTGTTCTTCTTGTTCTGTGTTATCTGTTTCTTTTCCGATTGTAAAAACAAAAAATATTTAGTGCAAAAAAGAAAAATCAAAGAGCAAAACGTATGTGTAAAAACCAAAGTATACTTTGGGCTTTATTCAAGAGCCTGTCCTTACAGAGAGATTGGCACCTGTAGTATTGAAACCTTTTTTTTCTCACTGCAGATGGTTGCAAAACCCAGTTATCAAATGACGACAGCCTGTGTCGCATCTGTATGGACGCAATAACAGACTGCGTGCTGCTGGAGTGTGGTCACATGGTCACCTGCACTAAGTGCGGGAAGCGCATGAGCGAATGCCCTATCTGCAGACAATACGTTATCAGGGCTGTGCATGTTTTCAAGTCTTAATACTGCTGGGAGAACATCCCGCTCCACCTGCGGACCGTTTTGCATTAGAGACTCGGTGAGGATGTGCACAGCAAGTGCCCCGTCTTTACATTGGATCAGTGCGGAAGATAAAATTCTCTGCTTAATTTTTCATGAAGTTTCAGGAAGCCTTCAGACAGTGGTCCGCAATGGCTTTGTCCATAAATGCTTCAATAAAAACATTCCGCAAGCTCTTCAAAGAGGCTCTGTAATAATATGCAATTGTTCAGCAGCAACACCTCACAGCCTTGATTTGATGTCCTACAGCTTCTGACAGACATTCTGTTCACCTGTCACATGCGAGCACTGTGAGAAACTCAAAATATTGAGAATTACTCATGTGTGTTCATCATCATGGAAGGATCTGAATGTTCCTGTTGTTCTTTTATTTCCATTTTTGTTGCAACATCTGTGTATGGGCTTCTGTTTCCCGTTTGGATTGTGTAGCTTCTAAGATTCTTGAACAACGTTTTGGAGTTTCTGCATGTTACATTGTACCTCCTTATAACTTGACACTGGTACCATTCAGTCAGTGATTTCATAAGTGGCATAATGAACATGTTTTGTGGTCATTCTCTGGATTCAGCAGTCCTCTGTTTTTTTTATTTATTTTTTTTATCATATGACTTCCTTTCTTTGTCAAATGTCTTAAGAACATTTGCTAGTTTCTCAGTCACCACTGTTCTTTTGGGTCATGCGACTTTTGAGTATGTGACTGGAAAACCAGCCTAGAAACCTGTGGTTAAATCAGTGTAAGTGGTGATAAATGAGAAGGGATAGAACTGTTTCGTATGCAAAGTAGGACCATAAATGGGCACAGTGTAACTGAGAGTCAATATAATTCGAAAATGTGCATTTTATGTATGTGCAAAGTAACAATAACTTAATCAAAATGCAAAGTGTAAAACAAGAGGGATGATTAAGGTGCCAAAAGATGCCTTTCTCTCTCTTCAGTGCACTACTACAGTTGCTTTTCAGTTGTTGTTAGTACTTGAATTGATGTGTTTAAGTCGGAAAACTTAAAAAAAATGAAATGAAAATAAGGACTCCACTTGAGAGAGCGAGATGCCCATACAAATGATCTACCCATATTTTGTAGCCATTTACTCGTGTGATAAACCTTATTAAACGTTGCATCATGGCACATTGCATAGCGCTGACAAGCATCAGCTGCACAAATTAATGCTTTATTCAGACACCACAGCAATACCAGCCTCTCTTTTTGTGTGGCATTTTAGATTATAAGGGATTCATGTAATGCTAAGCTATATATTCAGATGCATTAAATCCTTGTTTAACCTGACATATCGTTTATTCCTATGTATATGCCTATTCAGATAAGTTTTCTTAACAAAAAATAACTTGATATTGGCTTCGTTTGGTCAGTTGCTCTGTTACTTTAATATAGAATTAACAAACAAGACAAAGCAGTATGTACGTTCTTAGTTACCCTTGTGATACTTAAAAGTGCTAAGAAAGATTTGTACTGGATTGTGATTCTTAAATGTCAAATTGTTGTACGGTTTCATTAAGTCAGTATGAAACCAGTTTTCTTTTTGAACATTTCTACTTTTGCACTTATATGTAAGATTATGAAAGTAATATGGATTACCAATGGCTCTTAACATTGAAAATGTTCCCTGCTTTAAGCTGCATTTTCAAATTTTATATTTAATCTAATACAGGTACATGTATGCATATAATGATGTACGTTTTTTGGGAAAATAACTTCACTTCTCAAATGTCTCACAGTAAAATCATTTTTTTAATTACATACAAATATAAATAGCCGAATGTACATTAAGAGTGTTTTAGATGGTGAACAATGCCTTAATTTATAGTGGTACAAGTATGGTGGCTTAGATCAGATGGCACACTCCCTCTTTCTGATAGTCACCATCCTGAGACAAACTCACAATAATACACTATTAAAATCATCTGTCATCATCACAGTTACCATTTTACAATAATAATCACTGTGGAAGGAATAAAATCACATGACGACTTTCATAGACAAATACTGCATGGATGTTCAGTGAAGTCTTTTTTGACCTCATGGGAAAAAAATGGAGAACTACCTGATTGTGTTGAACAAAACAAAATTACTGAGCTAGCTGGAATACGTATTCAGCAATTTGTTTGGTCTAACACGTGTAGAACCATGCTCTACAGAGTCATACTGATAGCTGAAGTTTTGCCTGTTACAGCTGTGTAAGACAACACAGATGGAATATGGCACTGTTTTATAAATAGACCTCAAAATAACAAATTTCACTTCTATTATCTGCTCTGAGATTCTTGAAATTCAAAGCAGTCAAAACTCGTGACTGAAAAATGCTGATCAGATTGGAATATTCCAAAACTGATGACATAAAATGGACAGATATATTTTAAAAATTCCATTATATTAAAAAGAAAAAAAATAGAGAACAATACATATACCCAGTACTGAACCAAATACAGCACAAATCTGAATTGATACATCTTTTATACAAAAAAAAAACTTTGGAGGGTTTTGAATAATAATGTACAATCATGCTTACTCATGGAATAAGTGTTTGTAGTATTCAGTGTGTGTGTGTGTGTGTGTGTGTGTGTGTGTGTGTGTGTGTGTGTTCATTAGCGTATCTCTGTGAGGACCTGTGGTAAATAATGAAGGTAACACTACACTGCAGTATAAGTGAGAGTTATGAAGCTGTGATTGCAACAGCAGGCAAGCCCAGAGGGTTAATGTTTCACCCATGTCATTGGAAATCTCATTACATAGATTATGTGCTTAATATATATATATATATATATATGTCCACTGCTTCCACTGCTTTTTACCACACCACCTATTAAATACAATCTCTTGCTAATAACATGTATAATCTCCTCAAAGATTAACAGAATTTGCTGGAAGAAATCCATCTTCAGAATACACCATTTCGAATAGGAGCAGAATTATGTGCCTTTAAGTACAGTATGTCTGCTCTTTTTTCCAGTTTGAAAGGAGCTGACAAACACTTTGTCCACATATGTGTTGCAGTGCTTTTTTTCAAATGTGTGAATCCAGTTTCAATCCAAACACGAGTGCATCTGATACATGGTATCATTTTAGATTGGCGTTCAGTTCCTCCCAGACACTAGGGGGTGCTGTGAAGTTTTTGGAGAAGTTTATCCTCTTGCAGTTGGAAGGGAACGATGACCGACATCTCAGCAATGAAGCGCTCACATGCCTGTCGGCTCACCTGCTTGCAAAATCGCAGGTCAATGCGGCAGATGCTTCCGCAGCGTTTGAAGTAGCTCAGCGACTGATCAGTGACCCTGTTACACACTAAAGAGAACATCAAGAAAGGAGAGATCAGTAATCAGTGAGGGGGAATTAACGGTTTTAAACATTAGACTCAGTGAACCCTTCAAAAAGGAAAGTTATTTAAACTACTTAGTAGTCCAAAGTAAACAACAGCAATTCCTGTGGTCTAACATGGTCTAAAGGCCGTGACACACCAAGCCGACTTCAAGTCAAGTCTGCTTTATTGTCAATTCTTCCACATGTACAGCACATACACACAGAGAATTGAAACTGCGTTACTCTCAGACCCTTGGTGCATACAGATAACACTAACAGTAGAACATAAATACAGATATACAGATTAAATATAAAATACAACTATACAAATAAGGTAAAATGTAAAAAAATATAAAAAAATATATATAAAGCAGCACAAGGCACATGGCAGATAAACGCAGATATACGAAACGTAAACAAAGCAGCGCTTGCCTACCATTTTGAATATCAGTAACATTGATAACTTCATGTTGAATCGGGCAAACTGCCGCCGACGAGAGCTGATGAGTGGAACACACCAAACAAACTAGCCAGACCGTTGCTCGCCGTCGGCCTGATGTTGGCCGATGGCCGACCATCGACTTGGTGTGTCCCGGCCTTAACATGCAAGTCATTTTTTTTCATAGATCGAATCAAGAATTACTGATAAGCCTTTTTCACTGAAATGCCTGGGGATCTGTAGGTCTCTCTCTGAACCAGACCACAATTCCACTGACTCAAGAACCAAGTGATGTAACCTGCCCACACTGAATGCTTCCTGTATTGACAGCTTCTCTGATTAAAACGAGAGCATTTTTTGTGTCAGTCTCACCAAACTGAGTTGTTTTGGAAATTTTAAGTGGTGATGACATTTTCCTGCCCACAAGCCCCTAATGGTTATGATTTGAGACCAGAAGGTTTATGGGCCAGTAAGGAGTCAATTTCCTTTGGTGGAAACAACAGGCAAGTTTGGGCACTAGTTTAGCTTTGGTACCAGCACTGTGTTGGTGAAAAAGGGTATTAACTCAGGAGGAATCTGAATGGTTTAAAAGCATTTGTTGTAATATTACAAATGGCATTAAACAGTGCAATTACCAGAAAGGTTGACATCAGTTAAGGAGTCTCTAGTGGTGGTCCCTGCAGCAGTCAGCAGGTTTACTGACTGGTCATTGATATGGTTGCAGTAACTCAAGTCCAGACGGGAGAGTACAGGCATATTTTTAATGATGAGACGCAGAGAGCTGTCCGTGATGTCCAAACCAGCCAGACGCAGGTCAGTAACATTCCGAAGTTTGCTGCGTGTGTCCATCTGACCTGTTAGAGAAAGCCCAAGTAGAGAATACACCATCTGAATAAGTAACTGTCTTGTAGGAATTCATTTCGGAGTTGAGTGAGGTGGATCTTTGGTGTGCAAATCAATCTAGAGTACTGCATATTACCTGGCCTGTTGTCAGTCGGAGGAGATAGTAGGTCCCTCATCTGGGGGTCTTTGAGCCCCTCGACCCATTGTAGGTCTAGAGTACGCAGCAGAGGACAGCTGGATGTGCAGAGAGCTGAAACGGCCACCCATGAACAGCCTGATAGGAGAAGCACCCTTAGTCCTGCAACCAAACACACAGGTTAGATGTGTGATTAGAAACAAGTACATACTGTAAATTAAGATGATGTGGATCCACATACATGCTCACATGAACACTGACCTGGTAATCGGTTAATAAGCCAGCTTAATTGCTTCTTGGAGATGTTGGTCCAGCTCAGATCCAAAGTGATGGGCTGTCTGCGAATTATCCCACTTAGCATCAGTGGGGTGATGGACTTACAACGCTTTAAATCGATATGAGTCCATAATCTCTTGTCACAGCACCTAAACCAACAACAAAATGTCATTCTAATAATCACATATAGGCCCCGTCCCAAAATGGCACTTCAAATCTCTTGGCCTTTGTGCATGTCTGTAAAGTCCACAAGACTGTAGGGCAAGAATGTCCAATCCTGCTGCTGGAGGGACAAATACCTACAGAGTTAAGCTCTAGTCTGCTCCAACATAACTGCCTGGAAGTTTTAGTTGTCCTCAAAACCTTGATTAGCTGGTTGAGGTGTGTTTAATTACCTCGACAATTAAACACACCTAAGAGTTGGAGCTAAACTCTGCTGGACAGTGGCCCTCCAGAACCGAAGTTGCCCAGACCTGTCGTAGACTATTGCGAAATCCCATTTCAACCATTAAATGGCAAATCAGATACCCTACCACAGGGGTGTCCAGTCCTTCTGTTCAAGGGCCATGTTCCTGCAGAGTTTACCTTCAACCTAATTAAACACACCTCAACCAGCTAATCAAGGTTTTGAGGATTTAGCCATGGTCTACAATAGTGGTGTTAGGTTCTTGAACGAATCGTTCTTTTGAGCCGGTTCTCAGGAAGTAACCGGTTGAGCCAGTTCACAAATCGAACTGAATCGGACTTTAGTTCCGGGTTGATGACGCAGGACGCACAGCCGAAGTAGCACGTCCAACTCAAAAAGAACCGAATGAGCCGATTCAACCAATTGTCGAAGTTTGCAGAGGATTACCGAGGACTCAACAAGGACCAAATGAGCAGTGGCGAAGTTTGCCGAGGATTACCGAAGATTCTGATGAGTGAGTTGACGATACTGTGCAAGCCTGAGGCGCGTACTGGAAACTTTGCATCACTAGTCTACATCCCCAGTATT